CACCAAAAACATTATTTTTATGCAAAAACAGCTTAATTCCATCAAACATGCAAAATCCCGTTTTTAGGGATTTCGGGATTATCACAACTAAGTTAAATTTTCATCTAAAACATTATTTTTATGCAAAAACAGCTTAATTTCATCAAACATGCAAAATCCCGTTTTTCGGGATTTCGGGATTATCACAAGAAAAATTAATTTCCACCAAAAACATTATTTTTATGCAAAAACAGCTTAATTCCATCAAACATGCAAAATACCGTTCTTCGGGATTTCGGGATTATCACAACTAAGTTAAATTTTCATCAAAAACATTATTTTTATGCAAAAGTAGCTTAATTCCATCAAACATGCAAAATCCCGATCCGATGTTTCAATTCGGGATTTCGGGATTATCACAACTAAATTAAATTTTCATCAAAAATATTTTTATGCAAAAAGATGATTTTTATACAAAAACACCTTAATTCCACCAAATATGCACAATTACGCACTAATTACCAACACAAATGACGTCAACAGCGCCGCCAGCGTCGGCGCGTCGATCGGCTGCAAAATCAAAATTAAAATCTCGCCCAAAACACCAGGCGCGCAAAATGGCCCAGCAAGTGCCGCAAAATTTTGTAAAAATATATGCGCCTTAAAGTATGCCGCGTGCATGTCAAACACGTGCGCCTCAGGAAGTGAAGCCAATAAAGTGTGTCGCTCCTGTCGTGCGGCAATCAAGAAACGCCTAAAAGCATGCAGCACTATTTGGTGTCACATTTATTTTTCTGGGCGGCCGCTGCTTGCTGGGCTGTTATGCGTGCCTGGTGATTTGAGCGAAATATAAATTTTGGTTTGCAGCCGATCGACGCGCTGACGCTGCCGGCGCTGTTAACGTCGTTTTTGTTGGTAATTAGTGCGTAATTGTGCATATTAGGTGGAATTAAGGTGTTTTTGCATAAAAATAAGGTTTTTCATGAAAATTTCGTTAAATTATTTTGTTTTGCATATTGCAAATGATTTTACTTACCAATATATGCAAATAAAAGACATGCTATTTAATTAATTACCCTCGTACTTTTATTTTATCCATTTTTTCTTTAGAATCATAACAAAATGTTTCAATAATTTCTTTTTTTGTTTCTTTTTCATCGTCAGCATCAGTACATACAGTTCGGCTTATACAAAAGTATGCACATAAGTATATAAGTACATATTTGTTTTATTGTATATATAGCTACTATTGTGTTTTCTATACGTTTTTATGTTTTCAATTTGCTCTAGACCGAAAAAATATACAAAACGCAAATTAAATCAATTGCAGATATCTGAGTGCACAAATTTTATGCATTTTAATTTTTTTTTTTGTTTTGTTTGTTTTTTTATAATTTTTGTCTGCTTGTATGTATTGTGTATATATATAATTTTTTAAATTGTTCACGCTAGACTTTATGAAATAATCTATATATGTATGACTTTTAGTTTATATTATTTTAAATTTGTATTATTAATTAGTATTGACAATCGCAGGAAGATACATGAAATTTATGCAAATTTTGAGTTTTAGTTCAGTTTTTATATTTTCTCAACTTAAAAAATAGTTATTTTTTTAATTAAATACTCGCTCAATTTTTGGTTTTTTTTAGTAATTTCGTTATAGATTCACACTTAAATGCTAGCATGTCAGTTTTTTCGGATTTTCTTTTGTATTTTCTTTACATACAGCTGTAAATATATATATTACTATATGTAAGTATATATAACTGCACATTTTTGTATGTATGTATATAACAATTTCAGGGGTATATAAATAACGAGGATATATATACTATAAATACTATATAATATATATGTTTTTATGTATATCAATATCGTTTCAAATTGCTACATTACAACTATGATTTTGTCAATAATTTTAACGCTTCGCGCACGATTTACTCACATCATAACAGGTAGACATTCATTTCATAGAAAATTATAAGAAATTGGAAAAAACAAATATCAAATAAAATAATGCAAAGCTTTAAATTTGTGTTTCAAAAAAGTGGTAATTATTTAAGAATTTTCATAATTTTTTGGTGTGTTTATGCAAAATGTTTCAAGAAAATTTTTATGTTTTTGTGAATAAGCAAAAAATATTTACTCTAAAAAGAGCATCAAATTTTTATATGATTAGATTTAATAAAGAATTTACACTTCATATTTTTAAATACAATTTATAACAAAATATACTAAATTATGTAATATATTTTATGT